TATATATATATATGTATATATATATATTGTGGGAGGAAAAAGACAAGTAAACTACAAGTTCATCCCTTGAACTTGTAGATGGATAAAAGGATAAAATGTATGGGACAAAAAATGGGACATAAAATGTACTTGGGATGAACTTGTAGTTTACTTGTCTTTTTCCTCCCTTAATATATACTTCGCTCTACTTCTATGTATTGAGCACTGTTCTACGAAAATCAAGTCACACTTTATGTATATATATATATATTATGGATATATTCAGAGATTACAAAAGGTACTTTACTATTTCAGTTTTTCATTAATATACAGTAGTGCATTGAATATCAATATGAAGAGTTTACAGTAATATATAGATGTATATATATTAAAGATATATTCAGAGATTACAAAAGATACTTTACTATTTCAATTTTTCATTAATCTACAAAACATTGCATGCTGAATGCATTGCCATCAGAAATTATTAATGTCTTTAATGTTACTATTACGATAGTTGATTACAAAATTTTAAAAAGATATATGTATATGATTGTCTCTGAGTTCCTCCACAAGGACACACATTTTGAATTCAATATCAATATAATTATGGCAATGGGTACTTTAAAAATGAAAAATAGAAAATATATATTTCAGATGAAAACAAGTATATTGAAAGTATTAGACTGAAAGGAGTGATGGTAGTTACTGTTCATTTCACACATGCTGAGGCCAGTCATACTCATTCCAGTAGCCGTAATGAAAATCAATGGTGATTAATTCTTTTCTGTACGAATATTTTATTCCAAACTGTTTTTCCGAACTTATGATTGCTTCTACGCGCTTGTTACCTTTAATTCTTCTTTAGGTATATTTATTCAGATTTTGATCTGTAGAATCAGAAAATACCTTTCTCACTCTGTCATGAGAGATGAAAGCAAACACACAGTTCTTTCGTGTTCGGTCAGCTATAACTCCGAAATGTGTCCGCGAAACAATAGCTTCCAAAATTTGAAAAAGCTCTCTGTGCAGCTTTTCCTCCACGACTACTTGCCAGGCGTGTTTGACGGAACATCGTGGAGACATTCATCGCTGAAATGTCTTGAGCCAATCCATGGCTTGCCTTTGAAACATTGGAAAATAATCTCTCAAGATGTGGTTAAATCCGGTTCGGTTATTGAAGTGTCGAACCGAAACTGGTGTCAACAACCCTCTTATATCATCTAGGGCTTCGCTCATATTATTAATTTGACCATCTTTGCCTGAAAGTTCAGCTTCTGCAACTACAAGCACACCACGAAAAGTATTCAAAAACACTGAACTAGCGTCCACCATGTTTTGTTAGAGAATAGCCAGTTGGAAGTTAGCTGCTGATGCATTACTTGAGCCTGTCAGTTTGGCCAAATTAGAGCCTAAAAATCCCCAGCTTGTAATCATTTGGGGTAATCTTAGCTCCAATTTTATTCTGGTCCCCAATGTCCTTGAGGTGTTTCTGCAAATCATCCCCGAAGAGGATCTCAGTAAATGGCAATTGGGAAGAGCAGAGAGATCCATATTCTTTCCCAATATCTGATCGAATTAGCAGGCGTCTCTGCATGTTGAGCTCATACGATGCATGGGTTGCCAAAGACATAGATTCCAGGCCAAGTTTTTTCATATTCTGGCAGTCTTCCTCATTCAGAGACTTTGCATTTATCACTTTATCCGTAATACGGATATCGGGCAAAATACCCTTAGCAAGAGCATGTTGAATTTTGAAAATTTCAACATCTTGCCTTCTAGTGAAGTCTCTGAGACACCATATCCCAGGGTGTAGTTTTGCTGCTTAGCAGTTGGATGGCCTTTCATGCTTTTCCATGTGATCTTTAAGTGTTTTTGTATGGTAAAAAATCATCTAGTTTCCTATCTGTACATATAGGAATACATTCCATCAACTTTTTGATGATTGTAAGGGTCTTCTGATACTATACAAGCACCTTTAAGTAAGGCTCAATAGCCAGGCAATGTTCAATAATTTAAATAGAGACCAGAGTAGTGAGATAATTGGAAATCGTATGTGCCTGAGAATGTCGTTACAAGTTTTCCAAGAGTTTGTGTCACTTTCAGTACTGAGAATTGTAAGGTAGTTTTTACTTCTCAACCAAGTGTTGATAGAAAGTTCTGAATAGCCAACAAACTCTACCAAAGAAAATCAGCAGTTAGAGGATACTGTTTGTTTGGCTCACACCAACTACAGTTAATTATGCATTTGCTAGACATCTTTCAAGGTCCTTTGTCAGAGGTGCCTGGCAACAGACTGATCTCTACCCTCACCTTCACAGTAGGGTTTGACATACCACTGATACTGCACATTCTCTATACCTTGTAAGTTTAACCAGAAATCTGAAAAATTTTCAAAGTGTGGGTTGATTTCATCCATGTTAATGTACATAGATGTCTTTGCATAAAATCTGTCATCATGCAAAACAGTATTTGCTCTTAGATGTGTACTCTTAATTCAGCACTTATTCTTTTAGGGTTTGTAACCACCTGCATGTATCCTTTTTTCATTTCATACTTATTTGACGTGGGTTTTCCACTTGCTGGGGTCAGTCGGCTCCTCAGCCAGAAGCTTTTGTGGTCAGGACAACCGTAAGTATTTGTCTTTCCTGTTTCTGCACAAGCGAGTAGCTGCCGGGAGGGAAAACTTTACAGTTGTTTTTTGTTCGTCACCCATCCAACATTGTTTTTTTTCGTTGGGTCCAAACTTGGTTAATAAACCCTGTGGGGTCTTTTGGGTGTTGCCCTCTCGTTTCTTTTTTCTTTTTCCATGGCCTTGCCACTAGAAAAGACTATTGACTTCCGTTGTATCGGGTTCCCAGCTGGAATGTCCCAAACAGATGTGGTCCAATATATCAATGCTTATTTTTAAGCATAGTCACAGCACAAAGTGCTTTCTATTCAAGAATGTCCTGGCCGTATAGCCAGAGTTACCTTTACAGAGGGTGTGGCAAAGCTGTTTTTTGAGGAACAGGGGTTGGTGGTTCTCAATGGGGTCAAGTGCCCGGTTATGCAGCCTCCCCGCCCCCACCACCATAGGATAGCACCATTATAGTCTCATGGTACCCTTTTGAATGGCCCAGTGATGCAGTGGCATCCGCCTTATCGAGGCTTGAGATTGTGAAACACGTCAGACACCAGGTTTGGCCTGGCTTACCTGATGCGTCCACTGGTTCAAGGCTAGTCTGAATGGTACGCACAAAGGAAATCCCATGGTTTGTATCGATTAAGGGGATTTGGTGCAAAATTTGGTATCGCGGCTAGCCCCTCTGCTGGGGCACAAGTCTACAGCATGCCCTGACAAAGGCAAATGTCTGCGCTGTCATAAGGTTGGACACTACGCTTGGGACTGCTCTAATGCCTAGAATAAGACCCCAGCCCCTCCCGCCCCAAATGTTGTAGCATCGGGAAACGAGTTGGAGCAACCCTCGGACGTTGCTGTTGGTAATC